TTGAAAGACATAAAACCCATTAAAAAAGGCATTATTGGACTATTGACAACTGCTTTTGTTCTAACAGGAGCAACAATAACAGCTTTCAATCGGCTTTCGAAGAGTAGCACGATGACTGTTGCAGATGTTCACGATGTGTTGAACAATAATGAAGCATCATCATACCATGAGCAGCAATAGCCCTTAGCTAAGAAACATTAAAGGATATAATATATTCTGAGCTATCTAACTCTAGTCAGCTGGCATCTAAAATAAATTATTCTTGTTTCTCATCTAGTCTATACACGCCTTTTATCTACTTCCTGTGAGATTATGTAAAAATATTTAGCTACTATTGAATGCAAAGCCTTCTAAATGGCAGGCATAGGATACAGTGCTTTTTAATCTATGCTTATTAGCGCACTAAATTTATACCACCAACTAGCTATTGTCTAAATAACCTATCTAATATATACTGTTTAAAGTGTGGCAAAGCCAATGACTACCACTTAGTAGGTCAATCCGATATTTTACAAAAGTGTCTAGTAGACTGTAGCAATAATACCATAGTATAAATAGCTCAGAAAATTAAAATATTTTCTACAGCTTAAAACTTTTATAGTGGTCATGAAAGAGGTAAAATTAAAGATAGATGTGGAGAAGGTGGTGCACACATGCCTGTCTATTATAAAAACCAAAGTGCCTCTCAAACACGACACCAAAAAAGAGCATCTGTATCTAGTGATGGATATCTTTGAGAAGAGTCTAGAAGTGGAAAATTGCACGCTTGATAATCAAGAAAAGGAAATGATCCTGCTGCTAGTTTTAAGCAATATATATCTATACTTCACATACAATCCATATGGAATAGAAGCTATAAATAATCTGCACCTGGCATTAAAGGCTAGAGAGCTGAAAGACATCAAACATTGGGCTATTCATATGATGAATGAAGTCATAAGGCCAAATACACTTATATACAGGCCAGAGCATGGAATACATAGACAAGTTAGCAAAAATGAAGCATTAGAGAGGATAGACCCAGATGGCGAAAAGGGTGGCCTAAGTCCTCGGACATGCACACTGACAATCGACGACACAAAGTTTTTGACTCTGGAGAGTTTGCTTAATTCGAACCTAGAGAGCCTGGACAGGGAGTCTTTCTCTGATATAGCACATTTAACCAAAAAACTAAACATCGGTGCTTTAAAAAAATACTCAAAAACACAAAGCTACTACAGCTTGGAACAACTGTACACTCTAACAAAAAACGACATGGCATTAGTAGATCTTGGACTGAAGACTATTTTTGAAAAATATCAGGAAATCAAAAGTCTACTCAATGTAATCAAAGAAACAGAGAATCTTTCCTATGCTGACAAAGAAGTAGCAAAAGATGTTAAAAAACTATTTAGAATTGAAGGAGAGTTGGAAATGGTTATATCCATCAAAGACAACATAAAGAAAATTGAATCTGAAAAAACAGCACAAAAGGCTGTCATCAGTGCAATAGAATACATGGCAAACAGCACTCCTCTTTTGAAAGAGATGTCTAGCTCAAACACATTGAGAATACACCCTAGTCTTCTTAATTTTGACAGATACTATATATCTGGAGACGACGGCCTGGTGCAAATAGTGAACCAAAAAAAAGAGGAACGAGCTAAAAAAATAGCACGGAGTGCTCTAGCTTTAGAGAAAGAGAAGAAAAGAAAGACTCCAAATGCAATATATGTTAACAACCTAGAAAACGAAAAGTATTTGCTGGAATGCGAGCAGAAGAAAGACGAGTTGCAGCTTAGTATCCCGAAAAACATGCACTTCTTGTTTGAAATAAGCCCAGATCAGATAGCATACATAATAAAAAAGATGGAAAAGTTTACAAAAGCAAGAAAGATAGGAGTAGAAATAATGGAGACATTGGAGGTGATCTTTCGTAAAAAAAAGCTAACCAAAAGAAACATTCTTAAAATGTTCGTGCTCAGCGCCATTGTTATAGTAGTGTCCGGACTAATGGTTGCTTATTTAAGAAAAAAAATAGAATTTTCTCGTGTTGTTAGCTTGAACCACAAAGGACACACTATCCCTGAAGTAAAACAGGTTAAAAGCAGCAAAGAGCTGTGATCTATCACTACTTTACCCTACGCTAACATTATAAATAACTACTCTCATCACTATACATAGTCTACAAAGAATAAAAATCAGCATTCCAGGCTCACTCTACATAGCATCTACTGGTCGTTCCAACCTTTCATCTTAACTCATCTTCCACTTAAAAACAGCATGCGCACTACTCTGCAAACAATGAGTACTTCTACCCATCACTTCGCTGGTATCCTTACTCTCTTCTCCTACTCTTCTTTCTTCTACTTTATTCTCCTCATCCTTTCCTGCACAATGTAAAATAAAGCTCTTGCAAAATAAATCAAGCGAAATAAAGCGCTACCAGACCTTCTCTTTATTTCTCTGTACTATTTATTCTATTGTATTTTCTGCAAGCTGCTTTTTCTCTGAAACCATAAGAGTATCAGAGGCTGGCTTCCCAAGGTATAAATATTTTAATTTAATTTCAACCCATGCACAATAAGGAAGAAGCTAATGTGCTGCCTGCTTCCTTAGAATAGATGCCAAACATCATAATGATTTGCTGGCTGTAAGAACATTGACTGGCTATATTTTTAAAGAGACTGACCCACCTGTAACACCAAGGGATAAAGATGTACAGAACATATGCGAGAAAGGCATAGTCCAAATAAACCTGTTGACTCTGAAGTGTCAGATGTGCCTAAAAAGGCATATTACCGTGGTAAAAAGCAACTTCCGTAAATGGAAATCCTCCTATTACAGTCGTGTACAAGCCAGAAGGATCAAAGGAGTTCAGCCACAAACCAAGGTATAAGCACAAAATGCCCGCTCTTGGGATGGATGAAGAGACAGCCATAAATAGCATAGGGTTCCATAGAAACATAGTGGATACGTTAATTTGGCCCTAGCTATTATGAATGCAAGTGGTGAATAGACAAATCAGTCTGTAGCTTGTGTTCCCTTCATTACTGCACAGGAGTATTAATTTAAATTTTCTGCAATAAAATCTTTATAACAGGCATGAAGGAGGTCAAACTAAAAATAAAACTGAAAGAACTACTCAAGGCATGCGAGTCTATTAAACTCGCAGGCAAGCTTCTGAAATACCACACTCCAAAAGACTATATAGACATAGTAGACTGCATATTTAAAGATGTTATAGAGATAGAAAGCGGTGCGAATAGGGAGGAAGAGAAAGCCATCCAGGATATACTCAAGAATAGAGTCCGAGAATACTTTACATATGTTCTGTATGGAAAGAATGACATGAAGGATTTATATAGAGCATTGAGAGATGAGGAACAAGAAGAACTTAGGAAAGCATTTATCCATATAGCTAACCAGCTCATAAGGCCAAATAAACTCATATATAATCCAAAGGATGGAATACATAGACAGGTTGATGAGAATGAACCCATGGAAGACATAGACTCAGACGACGCCTCCTCCGACCTAAGCCCGAGAACGTGCACTCTAGAGGTTGACTATGCAGACTTTGTAAGCTTAGAAAGTATGCAGCATCTTGCCGAAGAGAGCATGAATAGAGAGTTTTTCTATAATGCTGCAAATTTATTCTACTCAAAGAAAAATGACATGAATATTTTGAAAGCATACTTGCCAGAGGAAGAAGAGCGCTTTACTCTCGATAATCTGTACACTATATACAACAATGGAGTAGCACTGGTTGATGACGGGCTGAATCTTGTTTATTCAAAATTCTACGAAATTGAAGAGCTGGTTAAGAAGATCAAAATAATGGAAGCTCGTAGTAGTGATGAGTCAGAGATAGTTAGAGAGATCAGAATGGTGCTTCGTCTAGAAGAGCTGCGGATAGCTATTTCTGTCATCGAGAATATCGAACAAATTATGTACGAAAAGGCAATGCAAAAGGGCATGATTGATGCGATAGAATACATAGCAAGTAGCACGCCACTCCTGAAAGAAAAAGACGGCTCAAACACACTGAAGATAGATGATGATCTGAGTGGCTTTGAAGCAGACTACATAACTAGAAAAAAAGGATTGAAGAACATAGTGAACAAAAGGGCAGATGAATTGAATGAAAAAATAATCTCAAGAACTCAAGATTTAAACAGAGAGAAAGCAAAGCTTGATCAAGCAAAGACGGAAGGAAAAAACAAAGAAGAGATCGATGAGCTAGAACGCTTGGTTAACGAGCTGGACCACGAAATATATTCATTAAACTGCGAGAACAAAAAGGTGTATCTGCAAATTTTAAATATTATTTCCAATCTACGCCATCATTCTTGCATCAGCCCGTTCCAAAAAGGGTATATAATCCGAGAGATAGGGCAGACTATGGAAAAGAGAAAAGTAAAAGTGGTGCTGAAGCCCTTATTGAACAGAAAGATAACTGAAAAGGAAAAATTTAGGATATACTCAGCTGTTATTAGACTAAAAGACCCCGTAATAACCACAAAACAGAAAGTTATACTAGCCATGGCTTTTGTTGTTTTCCTAGTGGCAGCATCACTACTTAGCATTTATCTATGGAACACACTAAAAACCATTAGTGTTATCTAGTGCAGAGCTGCAAAGAGTGCTACACTACCAACCCTTCTTAAGAGCCCAAAATAGCTCTATTGACTATTGAAGCGCTTGCTTCCAGCCAATTAGTTAGCATCCAAATAAAATACACTTTTTTTTACATTGTATACATACATTTTAGTGTTTTATCCTGCATACTCAATACAGTCTCATAGTGCTACGACTCTTTTTGTTTATCCAGCAGCACATACTGCGGAGCTCTTTACAATGCACAGCTACCTTAACTAAACAGGTGCAACTTCTGTAAGAAAATGAGCTTGCTCTGCGCTGCATTTAATTTAATATTTTCAGAAAAATTTTGTCAATGATTGTCGTGCATCATCCATATATAGGTGTCCATAATAGGTATGGCAAATTTTTAAGTTTAAATTTTTTTAAGTCCAAAGGTTTTAAGATGGCTATGCAAAAGGTTGAGCTAAAGATAAAAGTAGGCGGAATATTAGATGCATGCCAACGTATTGCCAGCGGAAATGTGAATATGTGTGTCCACAATAATGATGTAAAAACCCGCATGGATATACTAAAATACATACTTGAGGGAAATCTGGAAATAGAAGGCAAGCACAGCGAAGAGGAGAGAAAGACTATCCTAGAAACAATCAAAAAAAGCATGTATCGATACTTCATATACAACGAGAATGGCGCAGATGATATGGAGTATCTACATCACGGACTAATCTCCGGCAACGAAGAACTAGTTAAAACTAGAGGTGCGTGGTTGATCAACAGCCTGGTAAAACCAAATCCATTTATATACAATCCAAGGCATGGGGTTTACAAGAAGTTCGATAAGGATGAAAAGCTTGAAAGCATATACTTGCAAAAGGGAGAACTCGACACGAGCACTAGAACATACACACTGGAGATTGATGATGCAAAGTTTTCAGACCTGGAGGGCTTACTTCGGTTTACGTCAGAGGCTCTCGACAGAGAATCTTTCGCTTACATTACTGGTCTAATGCATATGCTGCGATTTATCGCGAATTTAGATATGAGCGTTTTAAAAGAATATACAGAAGAAAGCGGCTATCACACTCTCGATGAGCTGTACAGCAAAACATACGAAAAAACTGATGTACCGCTGATAGACTACGGGATGAAGATTATCTGCGACAAATGCCAGGAGATTGAAAGGCTGATCAGCCTAGTTAAAGAAATGGACGCATGCTCCAACGATCCGCGGGATATAGTCAATCAAATCAATGATGTGCTGGGCCCTGGAGGCGTGGAAATAGTCATTTCCATCATGGACAATCTGGAAAGCATTATGCATGAAAGGGGAATTCAGAAACGTGTGTTCAAAGTGTTGGAGTACATGGCGAATAACTTCCTATTTTTCAACAAAAAAAATAACTCAAATGAGTTGTCGATAAATAGCGACCTGGTCCGCTTCTACGAAAAGTGTGTAACCAAAGGAGACTTGCTGAAAATAGTGGACGGAAACAGAGAAATAATAGCTAAAGAGTTCAAAATAAAGGATGAAGCAGCAGACCAAGAGCAGGCAAAGTACAAAGAGCTAGAAGCAGACTTGAAAAAGTGGATGCAGGAGAATGAAAACACTCTTGATCCACAGGACTACGAGCAGAATGAAAACACTCTTATTCCACAGGACTACGAGCAGAATGAAAACACTCTTGTTCCACAGGAATACGAGCAGAATGAAAACACTCTTATTCCACAGGACTACGAGCAAGTGCTAGGAGAAAAAAGAGAGAAAATGGCACAGTTAAAACGCACCATTAACAATCTCGATCATGACGTGTACTTCTTAGAATGCGCTAGGATAAGAGAAAACATAGAATGCGGCAACATTATCGAGTTTCTGGAGCGAAAAGACTTGATGTCTCGTATGAGCATAGGCCAGCAAAGCTATCTCCTCAGAAAGATAAAAGAGTTTGCAGAGACGCTGAACATAAGAGTAGAAGCATCTGAGGCACATAAAATAGTGGAAGTAGATATGCCGGAGGAAAAAAAGACCTCCTTAACAAAATTCACGCAGAAAAACATAATTAAAATGTCCGCACTGGGCTTTGTTTTTATAACGCTGTTAAGTTTGCTTGGCTATTCAAAGAGTGAAGCAAATAGCATTGCCAATGAAGATATTTTATCGCGCTGTGAAAACATGGAATACGAAGAAGAACCACTGGCTAAGAAACAGAAAAAGATCTAGCACGTCTTAAGCTGGCTGAAACCAATTATATGATATTCGAAATAAATTATCCTGGTTTTATACACAGTTCATCTTTATGGCTTTCTATGCTGTTTCATACTTTATGTCTTTTGGCTAGCTGCAGCAAGTGCCGTAATTTTCTGCTACTAAAAATGTTTAGTGAAATAGCTGTACCAATTCTTTATTATGATGCTAAATATAAAAATTAAAATTTTTAGCTGTAGAAAGCTTTAATTTTGCAAGTTGTATATAGATTATGTTTATTTAAAATTTTCTTTCAAACATTTAAATAGTTTTCTGCAATTAAAAAATTTTCAAATGGTCACAAGAGAAGTCAAATTAAAGGTAAATGTGGAAGGGATAGTGAAATCTGCGCTGTCTATTAAAAACAAGTACGATCAAGAGTTCTACAATACGTCAAGCGAACAGCTGAGACATTTAACTATCTTGAAGGATATATTTGATGGCAACAATCTAGAGATAGAAAGCGATCACAGCGAGGAAGAAAAGAAAGTCATTCTAGACACGCTCAGGAAGGACATTTATCTGTACTTTATAGAAAACGGCTACCAAGTCCCAAGTATGCAATATTTATACAGTGTATTGAAAGGTGGAAGAGACGCATCAATCAGATCAGAGGCTATTCTTTTGGCAAACCATCTTATAAAACAGAATCCGTTCATATACAGGCCAGACCATGGCATTTGCAGAAAGTCTGTTGCAGGCGAGCTGTTTGACGATATAAACCCTGAAAATGCTGCTCCTGACCTGAGCACCAGAACATACACTCTGGAGATCGATGCGACAAAATTCGTGAATTTGAGAAGTCTGATGGAGGCTAATGCAGAGAGCCTGAGCAGACAAAACTATCTCTATGTTGACACTGCAGCACGTTTTAAGGGCATAGATGTTTTAAAAAAACACGTGCATCTAAGAAAATTCTACACTTTAGATGATCTTTACACCAAAGAGTACGAAGACACTAAAACATCGCTGCTGGACTACGGGCTGGAGCTCATCTGCAGGAAGTACCATGATATTGAAAAGTTAAGCGAGGAAATTGAAGAACCAAAGATTATTTATAAGGGACTGCAGGATGATATAGCTGATAAAATTAATAAAGTGTTTGTTCAGGAAGAGCTGGAAATAGTCATTCCCATTCTCGATGACATAAAGAAAATCGGCTACGAGAAAAGTCTCCACAAGTCCATCATTTACACGCTGGAATACTTGGTAAACAACACTGCGCTCTTGAAGGAGCCAGCTAGCGGCCTAAACGTTCTGCACATAAAGAAAGATTTGAGCGATTTCTATGAAGACAATGTAACAGGCAAAGGTTTAGAAAAAATAGTGGATGATAAAGTAGATGAGATAACCCGAGAAATGCTAAAGCATATTGATTCTCTTAACAGAGAAAATGAGGAATACACTGAAAAAGAAGCAAGACTTCAGAGATGGATGGAAGAGTACAGGAATAAACTCAATACGCAGATCTACAATAAAATGGTTGAAGAAAAGAACAAAGAAATGCAAGAGGCAGTTTTTTCTATTAATGATCTGAACAACAAGATATATCTCCTGGCATGCGATAAAGAAAGAGAGACCATACGCAGTAAAAGTCTTGTTGAACTCAAGAAAAACTTAAAATCCTTGCCAGAGCTGACTCTACTTCAGAAACAACACTTACTGGAAAAGATAAAACAGTTTGCAAAGGTACACAATGTTAAAGTGGAAGAAGAAGAGCCTGCAAGGTCTTTGGTAGAAAATGTGAAATCTACTGGGCAATTTGTCTTTAGACTACTTACAGGTGCTTGTGTTCTAAGCGGATTCACACTAACAGCCTTTAACCATTTTTCAAACATCGATACAATGCAAGTTGGAGATGTCCACAATGTGCTGAACTCTAATCAATTTTTATGCCATAAGAAACAGTCATTGACTAAGAAACATTAAAGAATGTAGTGTATTCTGAGCCATTTGACTCCAGTCAGCTAGCATTGAAAATAAATTATTCTTAAATTTGCAAATTTTCACTTTTTTTACAGAGCTGGTATATTGAGTATTTTGAAGTATGTTGCCAGGGACCATGCATATTTGCAATTTTAAGAAATTTTATTTTGGATTTTATTTTAGTTGGCGATAAATTAAAGTTTTTCCGCCTAGGGAAACCCTTGCCCTTTTAAATAATTTTTTGTAATTAAAATTTTCAGGATGGCCAGGAGAGAAGTTAAGCTAAAGGTAAACATAGAAGAGTTATTGAACGCATTTCAGACTATAGACAGAAAATACGTTTCTAAGATAGGAGATGTATGCAATGATGATCTTATAGAAATATTTTTGAACGGGCTAAAAGACATCTTTAGAAAGCATCTACAAATAGAGAGCGAGCACAGCGAAAAAGAAAACAGTGTTATTTTAGAAGCAATCATAAATAACATGAACCACTACTTTATATATAATGAACATGGAAGAATTATTATATTCACTTTGCATGATGCATTAAGGGATAGGGACAGCAAGAGAATCAGAAGTATGGTTATTAGGCTAGCTAATGAACTCATAAAGCCTAATTCCCTTATATACAGGCCAGAGCACGGAATAAATATGCAGTTTGACAAGAATAAGTCTCTAGAAAATATAGACCCAAATGACGAGAATGCAGACCTAAGCGCCAGAACATACACGCTAGAGATAGACAGTATGGGCTTTTCTAGCATGGAAAGTTTTCTGCAGGCCTCTGCAGAGAGGCTGGATGCACATAATTTCCGTTTTATTTCCGAATCAGGTGATGTGAGAGATATAAATAATCTTAAAATGGGATCATTAGCACTAAAACGCTACAACCTATATGAGCTATACACTAAAAAATATGAAAACACAGGCATGCTATTAATAGACTATGGAATGAAGCTTATCTATGAAAAGCAGAAAGAAATTGAAGAGTTGATCGATCTAATCAACGAAATAAATTATACTTCTAACAATGAGATAAAAGATACGTTAATGGAAGAAATTCCCAAGCTATTTAGCCGTAAAGAGCTAGGAATAATCTGTTCCATCAGAGATAACGCACCATCTATTACAACTGAAAAAATACTTCAAACCAGAATACTTAATTTAGTCGAATACATGATAAAAAACAACATATTCTTGGAAGAAAAAAATGAAGAAAAAGTATTGAAGATAGGCACTAACTTGAATGGCTTTTATGAAAACTACATAAATACGAGTGAAAGGTTTGTAAAAATGGCAGAAGATAACAGAAACAGGCTAAATGATGAGATAAAAGTGTATTCACAAATCCTAAAAGACAAAGAGGCCCTGTATTTTCAGCTAGGAGAAGAAGAGACTGAAGAGAAGGAAAGGGTGAAGTGTTCTATTAACAACCTGGAAAACGAAATATACCTGCTAAAGTGTGACAGCGAAAAAGAATATATAACGAAATCTGTCTGTATAGATAGGCTTAAGAAAAATCGACGTACATTAGAGTTTCTAAGTGTCGAGCAAGAAGAATACATATCCAGAAAGATCAAAGAATTTGCAAATGCACAAAAAATAAAAATAGGCGAGCCAGAAGGATTGATAAACCGAAAAAAAGATATAGTAAAAACAATGATTGTAGGTGCTGCTTTTCTGGGAGGAGCAACAATAGCGGCTTATAATCAGCTTTCAAAGGAAGGTGAAATACCTGATTCTAGCGCTCGTAATGTGCTGAACAGTGACAAAACATCATCGCACCACGAGCAGCAATAGCCACTAGCTGAGAAACATTAAAGAATATAATATGCTTTGAGTTACTTGACTCCAGTCAGCTAGCATTAGAAATAAATTATTCTTAAGTTTGCAAATTTTCTACATTATAGCAGTTAGTGAGCTGAGTACGACTATCTACATGGCATATAACACTGCACCAACTTACTTTGATCTTGTTTCCTTATTCTCCTTCTATTTACACTATCTACCATTCTATTTCTATATACAGTGATCTCAGTTGTACTTTTGCAAATCAATTGAAACCAACAGAAATGCAATAGTTCTAACTAGTGTCAGCACTTAAAAATAAAAATAATGTCCACTGAGACTAAAAGTTTATTTATTGAAGGCTGTAGTTCCTGCTGTATAGTGTAATGAAAACATCAAGAATCTCGTTGTGTGCCCCCAAACTAGACCTGTTCGCGTTGACGTTGCGAAACACCATAAGCTCTGTTTCTGAGCTTTTTGGAACTTTAGACAGCTTTTTGTGCAGCTCTTTGCGTTGGTCTTCGAGAATGCTTTTCAGCTTGCTTTTTTTGCACCGAACTATATTCTGCTGCCGCCTTATCTCTGTTCTATCGCTTTTTATGTCATACTGCAGGGCTATCTGTTCATCTATTACCTCTCTCAGTTTGTTTTCTGTTTTGCTCGTCTCCATTCCAAGTATTTTCAGGCTCCTATTGTCTTCAGTTTCTCCGTTGCTTTTGTTTGATATCCAAGCGCGTATTGTACGTACCTTATTCTCTGTTCTGCCAATGTGAGCGCCCAGCCAAAAGCCCTGGAGCTGGCTGTCCTTGTCGTACTCTCTTGACTCCAGCACGGAAATAAGCTCATTAAACTCTTTTTCTCTTTTTTTCCCTCTGAAGTTCTCATTTGGTGCACAGTGTGTATACTCACCCACGCCTCCAGGGACTTTCGCATACCACACAGCCTTGATGTTTCCGTTTTCCTGTTGAGCAACCTGGCAGTCCATGCCATAGCACTCTGTTCTTCTCTTTTGTTCCAGCGGCAGGTACAGATTGCTGTAGTATGCGTATATATCCGCATGCCGTATGCCTATATACCTATTTTCATTGTAGACATATACGCCAGGCTTTACGTCTTCAAACCTTGTCCAATCCACCTCTTCGTGTTCGTCTTTTTGTCTGATAAAAGGGCCTAGCTCCACTGCAGACTGCATCAAAGGCGTAAGGAACAGCGGTATGCAGATATCGGCCTTGTTGTTGTGCGGTATTAAAGGCCAAAATTGAACAAAAGTAAAACTTGTTGTTTGCAAATTTTCTTCTATGTAGTAAAATACTACCTCATATCCTTCCAAGTCTCTTACTGTTTTTCTTCTCTCTTCTTCTCTGATGCAAGACCACTTTCTAGTCTTCTTATCCACTTTTACAGGATGTATACTATCATACTTTTCTTTTGCCCCATATAGTATCCTCATGTACTTTGATATCTCATTGATTGTGTGCAGGCAGTGCTCTTTTCCGCTTTTATCCATGTACAAAGGCATGCATAGCGTTCTGATCTGTCCCATTGTGTTATCTACGTAGTACACGTGATAGTGTGCCTGTGTATATGGTGAAATACTCCATCTGTTCTCCTCCAGTGTATACGCAGGATACAAATATTCCCTATCACTTTCCTTGAATGCCATGTTTGCTACTATCTCGCACTTCATGTGCATCTGGTTCTTTATTATGCACTTTCCTGCCAGAATGTATTTATTTTTTTTCTCGATCACTCTTGCTCTTTCGTAGAACTTGGCAATAAGAGTGTACATGTATCTATACAGATCAACAGCTGTTGAATTCTGCAGGGTTTCTTCACCGTATACGCTTTCAAGAGCACTGTACAGATCATCGTACAGTTTGTCCTCTATCTTTGATGCTATGTGCATTTCCACTATCTTTTTTATTTTCATTAGAATCCTGTTGTTCTTCTTATTCCTCTCTTCTTCTTCCGAGGTGTATGTATCCTTTATAAACTCTTCGCTGATCCTGGAAAAGTCCTGGTAGACCTCAGGTAGCATTATAATCATGTGCACTGCATACGCCAGTGCGTGGCTCTTCTCTTTTATTTGTCTGATCCTGTCCTGCTTCTCAATTATGCTGTAATTTATTTCAAGATACTCGCTCATGTAAATATCCCCCAAGCTTTTCTTCCACCCGGTTGGAGGATAGTCTATGTCAATTTTCAGCGGCTCATGCTTTTCTATGTATGCTATCATATCATCAAACACCTCTGGATAGTATCCGTGAAAACTTTTCACCATTTCTATATACAGACTGTTTTTCTCGTTGCTGAACAGCTCCTTCAGCCCCAAAAGGTCTTTGTACTTGGTGTTTGTCGTTGTTGTCCTGCAGGCAATGAAGTACCACAGCGCATTCTGTTCTATCAGCGGCGCAACCTTCTCGGAGAAGTCCTTGATGTCTGTTCTGAGATTTGTTCTGTACGGCTCGTTTTTTACCAGATGAATAATGTCTGACTTAAAATACTTGCTCTGTGCTATTGTCCTGTAGCTCAGCTTGTATCTCTTTCTTCTCAGGTTTTTCAGCCTTGTATCGTTCCACATGCTGATGTTCAGGTCTTTTGTTCCCACTGTGTCCTCCGGCATTCCTGCCCTGTCTCTCCGCGCTTTTCTAATAGCCGGCGCCTTATAATCAAATGCTGGCTCTTCACCGTCTTCCACTGCTCTCTCTTCCTCTTCTTGCTGATGGATAGAATCAAGTCTGCTCTTTGGTGCTCTTTCTTCTTTTCTTGTTTTCTTCGGTACTGCATGATGCGTTGATTCATCTGTTGGATTGCTCATTCCACTGGCTGCTCTTTTCTCTCCTGTATATGGTCTAATGCTAGTGTTTTCTGTCTCACCAAAAATATTTGCATTTGTACTAGCTATTACTGTACTTCTTTGATGTGGTAGCTGGCATTCTCCTGTACTATATGCTGAAATAGATGGTGTAAATCCATTCGAAGAAGATTCTGCGCCTAAATTAGTGTAAGCAAAATCTGAACCTTTCATTTCGTGCACTCCTACATCTCCGCTACTAGATGTGCCTGGTGTATTACTCGTACTATGTGTATAGGGATCAAAAGGATAGCCCCCTGCACTGGACTCTACTGTATACTGTTCTTGTGTAGGCTGGAAATACTGCACACCCTGTTCTCCTTCTCTGGGCTCTCCAAAAGACCCCCATCTGCTGGAGATCGGGCTGTTCATAGTTAGATCAATAACGGAATATCCTAGATCACCCATCATGCTATCCTCTGTTCTAGACGGTCCTGCAGTGTTATGTGCTCCATTGAAGGTGTTTCCATCTGCGCTGTACTCTGCCATGTAGTTCTGCTGCTGAAAGTGTTGATATTCACCTGGCATATTGTCTGCTGGAATAAAAGGTGTTTCGTATCCATTCCACCCTAGGCCGCTGTAATCCATGCTCTGATGTGCATAAAACTGGTTTAAGCCATCCATTGGGTATGCTAATCTGTCTCCTCCCATCCATGGAGCAGAGCTTCCAGTGGGAGCCGTTGGACTGAAGTCGTTCCAGCTTCCTCTGCACCCTGTGATGAAAAGGGAAAGCAGCGCTGCACCTGCACCTAATATTTTCTGATTTTTCATTCTGAAAATATCATTTTTTTTCTATTTATAGGTGTCAGTTGAGATGGCTACCCTGTATAGTATATTCCAACCTGAAAATAATTTCAAATGAAAATCACACACAGCGATTATAAAAGACAGTTAATACCACCGAAGGGTTTAAGAAAGCCATACAAACTTTATTGAATGCTCTGGTAAGCTATAACACTCCAGAGATACACAGCGCTCAGTAAGATTGTGCATTGAACACTAACAGACATATTACTAGCTATTTTAAGTATAGTTTCTTTTCTAGGAATTCTACTGTTTGTCTCCACATAGAATAAACTGTCGTTACGTGTAGCTTTATGATCTTATCTTTTAGTAAAGAGCTCTGATGGAGTAGACATCTGTATATTTACATTCTTATGCATTATTTTTCTTTTGAACAGGAATAGCAATACTTTATTGGATTGTAGATGCCTAACATCTGAATACAAACTCTCCTATGGTAACGCAAATGTATATACAAATATCGGCAACTAAAAGTATTCTATCAGGGTCTTTATATAAAACACCAGAAACCCGGCCTTTTTTGAAACTTTTTCCTGCTTTTACATCTTCTGTAGTTGGTTATGTTGGATGCTCTAATCTCTGCTTGCTCTCTATCAAGTTTTGTGTATTATTAGCTAATATTTTCTTTATTATCCTTATATTTTACATTTTTAAGCGGCTTTTTGTATCTCTCTATCGCATTTTTTATACTTTTAATTAACATCTGGTTTATATTATCTACATCTCTATATTTTTAAGCGGCATATCATTGCTCTGCATCGCACATTTTCTGCTTTTTCTTCTACGAAAATGGATAAATAGTAGAGAACAAAGCAATGCTTGCAAATCCTCTAGATGTATGGCTCAAAGAACACATCTTGGAGAGATACTCTTTGCCTAATGCGATTGGCTTTTAAGTGCTCGTCTTCAATAGTATTTTCAACAAGGATTTGCTCTATACATTTACTAAGCATTGTTTTTTAGAATCTTATTGGTACAGAGAAAAAAGCATTTTAGTGCAGAAATTATTTCGCAGTGCAGCAATAGGCGTTGGACGTATAGAAAACTAAGAAGCTACTATTCCGTTACTAGATCTAAAGTAGACAGAAAGAGCTGGTTAGATCAGTTACATGAGAACTGACATGGCATCCAAAGTGCAAAAGCTGCACAAATCTTGAAGTTCTGGCAACAAACCACTAAATACTCCTCTATAGTTATAATTCTACCAAAGGCATAGCTAGCACACTGGGCAGTGAGCCATTGCAATGCCAATGGTGTGAAAGAAAAACTCTTGACCTTAAATTATTTTTTGCAAATTAATATTGCCAGGCAGCCATGAAAGAGGTTAAATTGAAGATCGATGTAGGCAAGATAATAAGAGAATGCGAGGTCATCAATAGTATAGATGAAATGTACAACGCTGTTTCTGTTGATAATAAAGTAAGTGATTTGGCTATACTAGATCGCATACTCGATGGCAACATAAGAATAGAAAGTAAGCATGCTGATGAAAAAGAAGAGCTACAAATTCTGAATGTAATTAAAAATGAAATACGTGAGCATTTCGTATACTATGACAGCGAACTAAATAGCATATGCAATGTGCGCAGAGTGATAGTGGACGGAAGAATAGATGTTGTCAAATTCTGGGCCCTGGTTTTAATCAACAATATTATAAGGGCAAATCCATTTGTATACAACGCAGAGCATGGAATTTGCAGAAAAGATGGCATAGATTTAACTCAGGATGTAGACCCATACAACGAGAACTGCTATATAAGCACCAGAGCATACACACTACAGGTTGATGATGCAAAGATGGAAAGCGCACTTTATCTTACATCTGAGAGTCTGGAAAGACAGAACTTCTGCTACATTTCTGGCTTAGCAAGCTCAATGGACATAAATATTTTAAAAAAGTATACATTCACAGAAACACACTACACTTTAGACGAGCTGTACACATTAACTAAAGACAATGGGGTGCCACTGGTAGACTACGGGTTGAAGCTTATCTATGAAAAATACTTTGAAATGGGCGAGCTATTTGAGCTGGTTAAAAATATAAAGCTCATTTCAAACAGTCTGCAGGATGTAACCCGAGAAATATATGAGCTGTTTAGCCCCGAAGACCTAAAGATAATCGTTTCTATCAGAGATAATCTGGAAAAGATCAAATACGAAAAAACAGCGCACAACTGTCTGATTAGATCGCTGGAATACATGGCAAATAACACTCCACTCGTGGACGCGAAAGACGGAACAAGATTGCTGAAGATAAGCAGTGATTTGAGCGATTTTAGCATAGACTACGTAGCTGGGAGAAAAGGCTTAAGGAGGATAGTAGATAAAGAAAAAGCCAAATTGGACGAAGAGCTAAAAAGAGTGTATAAGACTTACAATGCAAAGTGTGATAGAAATAGAACACTGGGAATGTATTTATTTGCCCTGGAAACAGGATCTAGAGTTAAAGATCAGAGCTACTACCAAGCAGAAGAGAAAATTAAAAAAGAGAAAGAAAGTGCAGTTTGTGCTATCAATAGGCTAAAAAATGACATAGCTCTGCTGAAATGGAAAATAAGAAAAGAAGAGCTGCAGCGTGAGAATATCCACAAACTTCTGAGCATCTCAAGATCACTGTCTCAAATGTCTCTAGCGCAGCAAGACTATATAATCAGAAAGATAGAAGAGTTTGGAAAAGCACACAACATAAAGGTAGAAGTGGTGGAGATAAAAAAGCTTCTTTCGATAAGACTCACCAGAGCAAACATAGTTAAAATGTTTATTCTTAGCGCTATGCTCATAGTAGCATCATTACTACTGGTGAGATATATGAACAGTGAGGTGAAGTCTGTTGGTACTAGTTAGATACTCTCCAAAATAAATTATTCCCGTGTTTATAGATGCTCTCTCGGACAACAATTAATGTTTATGTGATTTTGCCTTATTTTAGCGTTCAACAGAGCTGTCTTTTCTCTTTGGCTATATCCCAAGCATTTCTACCGTCCTAGTTTGTTCAAATATAAATGTATATTTTTCTTTAGTTAATCTAGCTATTAGGCATGCGAATAAAAATAAAAAAGTAAAATTGTACTTAAAAGAGACTATATACTTATTTATTTTTTCAATTCTCTTTCTTTTATTTTAGAAATAGCTACAGCACCTTACGTCACAAACAAATACGAGCGAGCAAAAATAAACTAATGACATAAAGAGATAAAAACAGTACTGTACTTATTCAAATGCAAGGTGCTCTAGTTGAACAGCTATTCCATTAGATCGATGCAGATAGAAGTGTAAATGGAAG